CTCAAATAGAAAAGGTAATGTGACACTTTTCCTCTTACTTGATTACACATTGTGTATGTATTTGTACTCTGTGTTTGATTACTTCCTCCACCACTGCCTGACCTCCTTCTTTCTAACACTTTATTATGGGTCATCAAGAGTCTGGCTTATAATTTTCAAGGTTGGTGTTAAAATAAGAAATATCAGGATGTACAGCATTGATTCATCAGTTTTTTCTCTGTTCAAGATTGTGTCCTCCTGTCAAGAGGAAGTGGTTGCACGTCATATGATCTGCCTGAGGACAGAGACCTACCTCACTGATTTCATATCCTGTGGCGACTGAACAGGATTCAAGTTACACATCAGTCGCAGAAGGAAGTCTCAAAGTTTCCACAGCCCCTGCTGAAATCTATCAGATCGCTCTGCTCTACAGTTTGCGTGCATCTGCAGAGAAATGTTTTTACATTGAGGACATTAACTTCTGCAAAAAGTTTTTTTCTCTGGCTTTTAAAGGTCAAGCGTAGGGTATCAAATGCATAGATCTTACCTACGCACAATCACGCACTGTACACACACACAAAATAAAGGTGTGATAGTATCTTTATTCAGACAAGCTTGCATGCACGTACACTGACATTACACTAAGATTTGTGGTGATTAAATTATCTTGTTACCTTATGGATTACCATGGCAACGACATAAGTGAATCATGTCGTTCGCCAAGCGAGTTGTGCACATACCAAAACCACAACTAAGTTGACACCATTGAGGCCAGAGAAAGAAGATGTTCCTCGCTTTGTACACACATATTCACCACAAACACTCTCAGGTTCACACTACCTGAGAGTGAACATACCAGAGGAGATAATAAAGTTACTATTCAAGTTTTTGATGATAATCTAAAAAAGAAAATGAGACAATGAAAGCTGCTGAAATGCAGCTCGTATTTACAAGACACACAACACAGCCATCAGAAACACTCAATACAAAACACATGTCAAAATGCATGAAACTCTCTGCAGCTGGAATCTTTCTTAAAAAAAAAGGGAGGATGGACTAAAAAGGGAGGATGGACAGATATCATAACAACACAACAGATATGGAAAAGAAAAGAAGAAGAGGGGGATGTGTTCAGAACTGACTCAGGGCCACACGCAGCAATAAGCCTGTGATCAGCAGCACGGAGCTGGAGGCCAGAGCCCCTGCACTGTTGTGGTGGTGATTCCCATGGCTGTGGCTCTTGTGGGGCCCGTTACAGTCGTCGCCCGTGCAGCACGACACCTTGGCTGTAGAGACAACGCCGTGAGCCTTGTCGCAGAAAGCCTTGTAAGTGCACGACTTCATCACAGTGTCTGAAAGAGAGCAACGCCCAGACGTTTAAAGACTGACAGCTTCTGTTAATTTTGTAAGACACAGTGAACTCAGTGACCTCTCCCTCCTTATACCCCTCTACCCCTCTCTTCACACACACACACACACACACACACACACACACACACACACACACACACACACACACACACACACACACACACACACTCTCCTGTGTAAGTACACAACATTTCCCCATTTTAATGTGGCCATATGAAAAAGAAACTAACAACCACACAAACTTCAACAATCCATGCGGTCCATTAAAAATATCACATAACTAAGATCCTGGTGGGATGGTTGGCAGTAATCCTTAATGCACCCCCAACCTGCTCCAAACTCTAGTTAACTGGCTTTTTCTATTTTGACCGATTTTGTTGTTTCATCAATTTTGGTAAAAAAATCCAAAGAGTTGTGCAGCCCTGGCTTCATTAACACATGTCGCTGCAAACACACTTATAGATTCACTTGGGAGAGAAGGAAGTTGTTTGAATAAAATGGAATGCTGGAAGCTGGTGTTTACCTAACTGCTGTTATTCTTTCATACATTGCATGTATACATTTAAGGTCTTGACCTTCTGTGTAAAGTGCCTTGAGATAATGTACATTACGATTTGGCGCTAAACTGTTTCACAGTTCTGCTGAGCAACCGACTCAGTCTTCTAGCCCAGGTTCAAAACTTTTCAAAAATAAAAGCTTTAATTGCAAAGGAGGATGTGATTCTATGATGTTGCCATGATTGAGCTCAGCACCTGTTAATGTCTGTGTCAGTCCAATGTGGTTAATTGAAAAAAGTGTAATTATCAGAAGGATCTTGCAGCGATTTGACCCAGTTGCACACCGTTGCTGTAATTTATCCAAGGATGCACAAGAAAATTCAGCTGTGTAGAGTTAGTATAAAAACCCTGCCCCCACTAACGGCTACAGAGCGCACTCTTTGCCTGTTTATTCAAATGTATTAATATTGGACACACCAAGTCTATGAATTGCACCAAATTTGACACTACACTTCCTTGGGCCACTAACAATCCACATTCTTTGTGTGATTTGTGTTCCACATACAGACAGAGACACAAAGGCAGATAAATTGTGGAATTAGCAGGTAGATAAATTGAAAATGACCGTTTCATTCATGTATATTTAAAAAATGCACATGTTCCTAATCTGGGGCAGCACCGAAACATATCCTTATCTCACCTGAACCTTCAACTATTGATTGATTCCTGCAAAGCTGAGCTCAGGGCAGCAGAGACCCTGTGCCACGGGGTAACCAGAAAACACAATGTTTTAAACGCCTCCCTGACCTCATCAACAAACTCCCACACACACACACACCCACACACACACCCACACGCACACACACACAGATCTGAGGTTATCATAGACCGCTGGGATAATGTCCAGCAACCTCAAATAAATAGAGGATGTAGGCATGAGGCTTTATGATCACATGCACACTCTCTCTCCCTCGTTCTCTCACTCTCTCACTCACTCACTCATGCACACACACACACACACACACACACACACACACACACACACACACATCCAACAAAAGACAAAACAGAAGCCTGCTGACAGAAGCTAACAGGACATATTTGTGGGAAGTAATAAATACAAAAACCATCTAGTGGTGCATCATGGGATTTAATTTTGGCCTTCTCTTTGTCAATGGAAACAACATGGGGACTTTTTGAAGTCCCACAGACTTCCTCAAACTCTTGTGTCACACATGCACTGAGATATTGTTGCTGTGCTGACCTCTAGTGAGGCATTTACATCACTGTATTCATCCAGATCAGGCTTCATTGTTGTGCATTTTCCTGGTTGTGTGTTTGTGTGTTTACTCACTGGGTCCTGTGATGGTGGAGCAGGCGTCAGCGTACTGAGGGCAGGGGGTGGAGCCCTGTTGGTTGCAATCGTCCTCATTGGACGCCACGCACGTGTGACATTTGAGGCTGTGGCCTTTGCAGACAGAACAGGAGAGAACACCTGAATTTGAGACTAAGCATGCATATTCACAGCCGGGTGGAAACATGCACACACACAACCATCTGTTCTTATAAGGCCAGTCACTCCACTGTGGATCCACACACACACACACACACACACACACACACACACACACACACACACACACACACACACACAGGTTTAAATCTGTGACAGCTTTGTGTGGGAAATGTCCCAAACTCTGCAGGCCTCGATCTAAACCTGCTTTTACGACTGAGGAAATGAACAATCCAGGATCATCTGTGCTTCTATAACCCACCCACAACTAGTCTGCCAGCTGCTAATCAACTAAATCCTCACCCACTGCCTGAAAAAAAACCACATCCCAAATAATCCAGTGTCAGTGTTGGTGTTATGGGAACTCACTGTGACAGGCCAGAGAGATGAACAGCAGGAGGGTGAGAGCCGTCTTCATGGCAGCTGGCTGATGGCTCCCTGCGTCTTCAGGAGTCCAGAGAAAGAGTGTAGAGGCTGAGAAGAGTCACCGATGGAGGGGACACTCCAGGGTTGTGAAGAAGAAGGAAGAGGGGGGGGGGGTTTAGACACAAGAAGGTGTCTGCATGGGGGCATTAAGGACTTATCTCTGTAATCTCCATCTATGCTGCACAGCCAGCACCCTGCAGTAATAGACTTAACCCACTCTTAGTTTTGAGGTCATTTGTCGGAGGATCTGTTCCACAGCACAGTTTTAGTTGCAACTGAAATTTTGGGAAGTAAAAAAGACGAGTTGATCAATCACTCAGGAAGGAAATCAATCATTGCCTCCATGGGGATGAGTGAGAGTATATGTTTCCTCTTTAGGACCATTTTCCACTATAAACACGAGACCTCACTGGGAACAGAGCTTGGACCTGGTTATAGGGTTTCCACCGTCCAGTTAGTATCAGAGGTTTATAGCTCAGCAAATCTCTGAGTGTAAGTGTATGTGTGTGTCGGGAAGTCTGACGTTAGTATTGTGCATCATTACTGGTACGGAGGCTTAAGCTGGGACCATGACACATGTGCTGACAAATATAACAAACACACACACACACACACACGCACACATACACACACACAAACACACACACAAACAAAATGTGAAAATTCAAACAGAAATCAGTCAAGAAATTACAGTGGAGCAAATTATATTTATTCAAGCAAATGTACAAACAATCACTGTAAGTCCTCAACACAAGTGTGACAATCCCATTTCTAATTTACAAACACAAACCGTGACTCAGGAAAGGGCTGTTAGATCCCAGGATACCCCTCCATACAGGAGGTCTGGACCAGCTCTCTGTTTAAAGTGTCCAAGCCTTTAGCTCTGGAGGGTTTTACACTAATAAAGTTTCTACAGACTACACCTAGAAGGTAGTCTACCCTGCTTCCTCTGGTATAGCACCCTACTGAGTAACCCTTTCATTCAGACACAGCAGAGCAGACGCCCATTTACAGCAGCTCTCCTTCCATAGACTTGAGCATGTTGATAGATTTTCAAGCCCAAAGGATCTGTTGGTTTTATTGGCTCAAGTAAAGTATTATGTTACACACTTCAACGTAAGCTAAGGGTCACAGCTTCACTTTGATTGCAGTGTAGATATTTATCTATGAACGATAGCAGTGGCAGAGCAACGAGCTCGATCAAATTAAACTCCATAAGTATTAAAAATCACTTGTTAAAAATAATAAATCTAAATCAAGAGAGCTGAGGCTGGAATGGTGTCAAAGGTTTAACCTTTCTTTCCTGTCACAGGGAGTCGGGGTGCCAGTGAGAAAACAATATTTCATAAAATAAAGACAAACAGCTGAGGCAATGTGACATTAGTATGGCACAAATATAAACTGTGGCAGGGTTTGTGTCATGAGTGGATTTACACGGTGTTTAGGACGCAGTGACTGACTCCAATGAACTGAGGATGGAGACCCCTAAAGTGACAAAAGCTTGTTTCACTTTGTTAACCAGAAACTGCTCGATTTATATCACAGATCTGCAAATAATACACTGTATTATATCGAGGTAAATATGCTGCTGAATCAAAGTAGTTTTACTAACATGTTAACAAAAAAAATGTAAATCCTGAGAAATGCAAAGGTGTAAAAAGCAACATGCATAGAAATCTATTTATTTGTTGAATAATCACAAATAAGCAACAGAAAAAAACCTTCTAACAAAGATTTTGAATTCTTTTTTGTTTTTCGTTTCTCCCGCGGTGAGAGGTAAAGTGAACACACTGTGAAAGAGTGACGTTAAAGGAAAGTGACAATGCAGCACTTGACTGAAATACAGTGTCATTATGTTGTACTTTTGTTCCAGTTGTTCAGGATTCTCTACATGACAGTTGATGATCAGTGGTGTTTATACAGTCACAGGGAAGTCTATGATTGTCAGGTAATTATACGTTTCTGTGAATTAAACATATATTCTGCTGCTCTTTAAATAATCTACAACATAAACTGTGTCATACTGTAAATCATGTGAAGCCGAAGCTGAGAATTATTTGCAGTTTTAGATTCACTGAAGTCTGGTCCAGATTCCCTCAGGTTTCAGTGTCACTCTTAAACAAGCCAAGGCCCATGAGGACTCCTGTACTTCCTCAAACAATCTGAAATCCTCCTCTTCAGCTCTTATGCAGCTTGACTTTAACTCTGACCTCATTCTGCCCGATACAGCGCCCCTGAGCCTCTCTCTATCAGAGTGAAATTCTTGTTTACCTCCTAGAAAAATACATTTTATGGATTGTAGTTTTTATACAACCCTTGTCAAAAGCCCATCAGAGCACACGCCCAAATGAGACTCCTAAACATCCTGCAGTAAGTCTGATGTCATCCTGCACGAGCGTTTGCGGAATTGAGCTGTTAAGCTGCTGGGAGTTTTAAGTTGACTCACAAGCAGGTTGTTGTTGGCTGGCACGATGGACGAAAGCATAAGGGGCCAAGATGAGCTCATACAGGGCAGTAAATGCAAACAAAAGAAAGTGACCACAAAGAACAAAACTCCCGGAGATAATGAACAATCTACAGCACCTCTGTTGATTCTGGTCACATGTAGTGCAATAGTAGTGTACAGGAAGTTTAAACTTTAACTTTAACTTTAAACATGTGTACATGAGCAGTCTCTGAGAGGAAGAGCTAGCACAGGGTAGAAGAGCTGCTTCCTGGCTGGGCGCATGCACAGGGCAGGACCAGAGGGACAGTAGAAGATGAGTCACAGGGAGAGGCTGTCAGTCAATTTTTCCCATTTTGGCGATCAGCTCATCGCAGATCTTTGTCAGTTCCTCGATCTCTTGATTCTGTGAAAGTACAATGAAGGCTGAATCAGTACATTTCACGCATCTCTATATACTGATATACTCCAACACAGCACATCTATATAGCATAAAAATATACTAAGGCAGACCTGGTATTAACATCTGTCCTGAGAAATCCAATTGAAAGTGTTAAATCATCTGTATCCTGAATTACAGTGATTGGATCTCACTTTCATTTGTGTTCACAAATACCAACATTCTTTCTTTTATTATTTTATTTTGTCAGTCTGAGTTTACAGACTGCAGACAACATTGATGATAAAGTTTGTGTGTGTTGCCATTTGTGTGTTGTGTGTGTCAGAGTGAGTGAGAGAGAAAGAGAACGAGCAGAGTCAGGAGGGGCTGAATGAATCAATGAGCTGCAGATTTACACTAAACAAAGATTTTATAAGTGTGAAAATATTAGATTCATTATGTTATGTCTTTGTTGATATTTTGTTCACATGCATGTATGGACAGTACTAAGTGTAAAAATATGTATGATTCATTGTGAAACTGTGGCGGGTCAGAGGACGTCAGCTGAGTAGATGTGCCCCAGGATGCATTTGCGTTCACATGGTGAAAAGACTGAGGCCACATGTGTCCCAGACCAACTCTGATTGTGGTCTGAGTGATCAGATCTGTGGATGCATTCACACATAGACTGTCCGCTTGTTATCAGATCACTCAGAACACGTGTCAATACCGGTTCTGAAAGGAGTCTTATCACATACGCACTGTTGCGAGTTAAAAGTTTCATTCAGTATTAGCACATAGAGAAGTCAGGATGTCTCTGACCTTCTGCTGCAGCGCTTGTTCCAGAGACTCATTCTTCATCTGCTCCTTCCTCAGGCCTGCGGTAAGCGCTACGTTCTCTGAGCTCGCCTTCGTACGCACCTGAGCGATCTCCTCATTGGCCCTGAGGGAACATGGAAGCAAAGAAAGCAACAGATGTGTTATATAACAGATTCTCAAACCTGTGGAAGTATTTAATTTGTTATAACAGATTTTCCTTTAAATCTCTACATACCTATCTAGTTTCTCTTCAGCATGGACTTTCAGTGTCTGGTATCTCTGCTCCTCCTGTTTGACTCTGGCAAGATAATCCTGAGCACACTTCTTCAGAACCTCTTCATTCTGTTTGAGGAAACAGTCATCAAATGTCAAACACAAAAAAATAAAACTCAGAGAGAGAGAAAATACATTCAATTTTGTATGTATATCTTTACAATTTTCTAATAGAGTATTAACAGAGACATGCTTCTTTAAAGCTTTTCTTATTTTTTAACATTGTGGGCTCCTCTCCTTCTAATCTTCTGCATTCCTGCAGTCCCACACATGTACTGCTGAAAGCTTCACCGCAGCTGTCTGTTTCCCCTCAAGCAGCTGTTCTACAGCAGCTGTGAGTCAACTGTTGGTCAAGATTTGGGCACAAACAGCTTTAATCGAGGGGTCTTTGTGTGGTGTTTGTTGGAGGAGAGAACAGTGCCTGAGGCCAGCATTTATCCAGTGACCTTCCATTTAAAGCCCTTACTTCAAGACGACCACTGCCCCTGATCACACTGTAGCTTCCAACCTTATTCTGACCTTAATCTTCTTCCAGCCCTGCTATTGGCTGATCACCTCAGCATTAGAAATAGACACTTTCCATATATACTTATATAGACTTGAACTTGTCCTCGACCCCTTACTTTCTTAAAGCCCTCCAAGGTGCTCTTCATATTTTCATAACGCCGGAACACGTCAGACAGAGAGCGCTCCACTGAGTTCAGGTCGGCCAGCGCTGCTTCCTTCTCCATCGTCACTGCATGCAAAGCCTTCTGGGAGCTGGCGCTGTTGCGCTGCTCGTCCTCTGTGACAGTAAAGAAGAGAATATTAGTGTGAAGTGCTAGATGACTTATTTCTTGTATTTAGTCTGGTAGTGTGATGACATGAAAAGGGTATTTTCCACAAGAGTTTGTGTCATCTCACAGTACAAGACGCCACTGAAACAGTGAAGCATGTGGTTGCATAGGGAAACATAATACTGACTATGCAGTTCAAATACTAATCTGTTTTCACCTATGCAGGGATATGCTATGGGTCAGGGAAGAATCCATAAAAAATGTTTTTGCCTTCTTAAACAGTATGAAATAGGATTTTTTTTTTAAACTTTTCACTGATTTCTCAGAGAACAATTCATCATTCATAAAACATTTGGCATGTTTAGAGTTCAAATATTAGACACATGTGAAATTTGGTGCAGATCCAAATAAAAACCAGGTTCTAGTGAATTTAAATAAACTATTGGGACAGTATGTTATTGTGGAGGTGAAGGGGTGGMGAGAACCTTCACCTGCACCACTGAGGATCAATCAGCACAGGTGAGAGCTGTTAGCTGATTGATCCTCAGACGTTAAAAGGAGGCAGCAGAGCTGCCTCCAGAGGAACACGGGGAACACAAAAAGGCTCTGAGAACACTGAGGACTCCGAGGACAAGACACTCGAGAACATTGGGGACGCACAAGACGCAGGAGAACACTCGGGAGACACACGGGAGAAGAACAGAAGCCAGAGGTCCAGCAGATAGTGCTGGACCGTTTAAGTTATATGTTTTGTATGTTCAGTTAGGATTAAATAAAAGATGCTAAACCCGCAATGGTTGAACTGGTCTGTCTCTGGCTGTCGTGAGGGGAACCCGGTGGCGTGGTCGAACGCCACAGTTATGTTTAAAGAGTTCTACTCACCGATCATCTGAGCAATTGTCTTCTCGTATTCTGCAACAATCTTCCTGTAATAAGATGAAACACATAATGTGTCTTAAAAACAAGATAACTACACCGGTACCTCCACTACACCCCAAAACCCTTATGATTAAATAAAAGAAATTGATAAATTAAAGATATTTTTGGATCAATGCTGCTAATTGATAGGTACGATTTTTTTAAATTTCCCTGAGGGAGTCTTCCCACGGGATCAATAAAGTTGGATCTAATCTATCTAGATAGATGAACTTTAATAATCCCAGTTGGGAAATTGTTTAATGTCTCAAGTGTCAAGACCTCATGTGAACATCAGATTTAACCCACGTCCATTCATTCTTTATAAGAATTGATTGAATAAAAACAGGCAGCAAGACGTTTTCTAACCTCATCTCATTGACTTCTTGTCTGCAGTCCTCATATTTTTTCTTCCAGTCGTTGGCTTCCACCTCTTTAGTGATGATCTGAAAGGAGATGCTGTCTGTGAGTGGAATTGTATGTACAAATAATACCAAGCTGAATATTTACACATATACACACTGGATGTGAGTGAGAAAAGTTTGTACCTCCTCTCTAATGAGAGTGAGAACAGCTTGCTTCTCTGTTTCACTGATGCAGATGGAATCAAGGACCTGACTTCCTGTTTTCTGCATCTCACATTCCCTGGAGTTGCTCTTCAGTTTGCACGTGTCGTCGTACTGCTGCAGATAGAAAGGAATCAGTCATGTCCTCCTCATATTAAGGAGGTATGTTAGGTATTTATGACAACATACCTTCTCATTTTCCAAATGAAATTAATACAAACTATAATATCAAACTTATTTTTGGTTTGTTATTTTACTTTGAACATGTGACATCGCTCTCTGTCTCTGTACACCTGATCTTTATTTCTCACTTATCAGTTCTTTTTCATTCTATCAAACCTCTCTCCCTCTCAATTTTTATTTAATAACCATCTTGCCTTGACGTCTGTGTTCTCAAACATCCTTCCTCTTCTCCTCCCCCTTGTCTCATCCCTCTCTCATTTTGTCCTTCCCTGGATTAGGACCGTCATTTTCTAATCTAATAAATGATAATCTAAATCCATCAGTCACCTGAGTAGATGAACATAGTGGCAGTCACTAAGTAGCTCCTGCTGTCCTACGGCACACTGCAGTCATCGTATCAGACACCTGATCATGCTGCAGCTTATGTGTAATCTATTATATATTTGTACCGTTTATGTGATTTAACAGAACTTTACTTGCACATGTTTTCATTTTCTGTGTAAATATCAACCATTCAATCCATATATAATGAATAACAGTGATGAAACATAAGGACACGTCTGGACTTGTCATTGCTGTTTTCATCCCTGATGCTGATTCAGTAGTGACCTATATATAAGTGCTTTACCTCCACCTAGTGGTTTTAGGAGAGCCCTTCATCACATGACACAGTATAGATGACAACCATAGACTGTACAACATAACAAAGTCATGGTTGAATAGACTGTATACATGGTTTATGGTACAGTAGATTAATCAAAACGACTTAAATGGACACATTTAGTGTTAAATCCTCACCACAGAGCAGCAGTCTGACTCCTCAGGTTTGGACGTCACTTGGCAGTCTTGGACTGGAAGAAAGCAACACACTCATGGTAAGAAGAATATGGAGTAACAGTATTCACTTCTGTCCGTTTGTTTGTTGGTTGACTTGTTTGTTTTTAAGCACCATCACACAAAAACCACTAAATGGATTTCCACAAAACTATGAGTGAGAGAAGAACAACACATTCACGACATTTTCACAGTTTTCCTAGAGAATGTTTCATGGATTTTGAACTGATATCTCTGAGTGTGTGAAATTTGGTGCAGCTTAATTGAATTCAAGAGGTGGAAGTATGTGCCCTACTGTGTCGCATTCTAGTTAATGCTGTGATCTGCAATGTAAAAAGAATTTGTCAACATGACAAGCAGCAGGAAGAACACGAGAGGTTAATGTTACAATAAAACCCCAAACAAATGTTTTCCTGAGTTGTAAAGCCCAAATTCACTCCTCCTCAAATGAAATGATCATTTATTCTCATTACTGATGACTGAATGTAAAATGTGTTGATATTATTGCGGCAGCGAGTTGTACTTCATGCAGTAAAAGGGCAATGCATGATATTTAAAGTTAATGATTAATGTCATGTGTGTTTGTTTGTAACAGTAAACCAAAGCTGACCTTCTCACTGTGCGATATTGATCGAGCTTGGCTGACTGTTTGCTTTGAGGGAAGCTGAAGCACGATGACTAAACTTTAACATCCAGTCATCTGATCTCTTTACATGACAGTTGCTCACTGAGCTAAGGTACAACTGAGCTATTGGAGTGCACTGTAGCTGGGTGCCCCTCAGGAATGTAGAAATTAGGAACGCAAGCATTGGTGCTTACCGCTCGCACTGCTCGCCAACTTCTCCTCGTCTGTGGCGTGGCCTCCATGATGGTCATCCTTTAACAACAGCAAACATTCAACCACACAGACAGTATATATTGTAAGAGCTAATGCTACCACATAAGTCAAATGTTGTTTAAAAAATAGAGCATTCTTACCTGTTCACTGAATTCTTTTTGCGTCTGCGGCTGGATCTGTTTCACTTTACAGGAGTTCCTGAGTACAAAGATCAATGAGAAAATGAGTATCAGCACAAAACAGATCATATCTCTGTATGTGGGAACATGTAGTGATGATGAGATAAAAAGCAGGAGAGACACAAAAGCCCAGACCTCATAGCTCTGCTCTGTGTGTGCTGAATTCAAATGCTCTCCTAAAAGTGCTGATTTACACCGAAGAAAAAGCAGATTAATGATGAAGGTGTTTGCCAAACTCAAATAGGAGCAAGAACAGTTGCACAGAGCATTAGAGGGAATTATATGGTTTCCACTAACACTGTTTTTCCTCCACTTTCTAAATCTATTGTTCATTTTTTCCCCCCACCTTTGATTGAAATGAGGTCAAGTGGAAGACACAGCAGGATGCAGAATGAGCCTGGTCTGGGACTGCTCTATTCAGAACAGCAATTTACAAAAGACACACACATGTCTGCACACACAGTTAGACAGTACTTACAACAGAACACAGAGGAAATGGACTTGCTCTGCTGTCCTGATGCCACACAGAGAGAAGGGAAACAGAATGATAGGTTTGGAAAGAAAAGGAAGGAAAGACAGAGGAGATGGTGGGACAGGGGTTAGGTCAAACACAAGGTGAGTGGGGGGGTTATTATAGTTTAGAGAACAGAAAGTCCAGACTTCTAGACAGATGAGAGTCTTTGGTTAAATTGGAAAGAAAAGCCTAATTGAACTAATGTACACTTATAATCTTCCAAAACCAATGTAAGTAATATAATACAAGTATAAATAGTAATAAATAAAGCAATCTCTTGACTTCCATCCTTCTAATATTTTCATATTCACGAGAGATTTATAGAGATACTGAAAATACTAGGAATAAAAATGGATTGCTCCTCTCTTGCATTATTATCTGGGAAAAGTCCAGCTGCTAAGAAACAAATAAACCTGGAAACAAACCCAACAACCAAACCTGAGCTTTATCTGAAGACTCCAACACGGACAATGTGTAAAATAATGGGAGCTAAATTACTATACAGAAAATTGTCCTATAATAAGTAATCTATTACAATTCAAAGATGCTGCTCTTGTACAGGTAGTGTGTTGTCAGAACACACATTTAGCCTGAATATTAATGAGAATAAGGATATGATAATAAATAATGTATCTAATCTAATCCATCCACATACAGTAAAATACAGGGATGCCACTAGAGTTTCACCAACTTCTATCAAATCTGTTAATCTCTGCGCACTAAATTTAACTCTCACAACAGCAATAGTTTTCAGTTTATTACTGTGTGTGTGTATATACATTCACACACATAAATAAAGTGATTACAGTGTTTTTCTTTAATTAATGGAGGCCACAAGAGGGCGTTGTTGCCATTTTAACTTCTCTTTTCACTATTCAAAGAACATTTCATCAACAAACATAAAGCAGTTGCTAAAAATACTTAATCAAGCTGTTAGAATTGAAAAATCTACCCACATCAGCAGCTATGCAAGAATAAAAGAAAATCCAAGACAAATCCTCACAGGAAACTGAGCTGAAGTGAACGCAAATCCTAAATTAATAATAAGAGCAATAAAACCATTATATTATAACTATAGAAGTACTGATTAGGACTGAATGGAGAGACATAATAGCTGAAAGACCTTTAGAGAACAGAGAAGGTCACAGGCCACAGTTTGTTAAAATGGGAACATTTTGATCCCTTCAGGTTCACTGTGTACAATAGCAGCCATTCACTATTGTTCCCTACAGCCATTAAAGAGAGCACTTTTTTCTGCTTGAAAATCGGTGAGTCATGTTAGTTCAGTAAATGTAGCTACAGACTGGAAAGAGGATGACTGATGACAGAAGAGGAATGGCCTCTGTGCATGTTCTACTATAATCTTCTACTCACGTGATTATGGCGTCGCTGTTGTCACAGGTCAGATTTGTGTTTAACAGCATAGAGTTTTTGTTGCCATTGAGCAAATCGGGATCCACACAAATGTCACGACTGGGGATCAAGTTTGAGTCTGGGCTGGAGTCGGATGTCACTGGAGCCTCGTCGTCCACCTCCGTAGGATCGGGTTTGTTCAGTGGGGAGTGGACAGACAACGAAGGGGGCCTGACAGCTGGAGGCTGGGGCAGAGGGGTGGATGGGGAGAGGCCCTCTCCTGGACTGGGTTTGCTGCTTATCGTCAAATTAAGGTTTTGATCCAAACAGAAGCTGCTGTTGTCAGGAGAAGAGATGGTGAGGTTGTTCAGAGAATCAACCTCCTCTATTTTAGAGTTCTTGTCCAGAAAGTGGTTTGTCACATCGGGACGACCTGTGAAAAGACACAAAAAATGATTATTTTAACAGATCTTGAGCCGTCTAAAGATCCAGAGCCGTAACAAATCAAAAACACTGTTTCCTTATGTTTTAAACCTGGAGTGGGAAACAGCGAAAACGTTTTGAGACATCTTAAAGACCTAATAGTGACAAAGGACTGCAGTAGATCTCTAAGATCTCTAACAGGTGCCTCACGCGGTAGAGTGTGATTACAACAATCTTGAATCTGATCATATTCGAGTAGAGAAACGAGATCAGTGTCACATAATTCCCTTTAGAGGGCCTAGTCAACAGTTGGGTTACTTGGATAGAGGGAGTTACATTAGTCAAAACAGTTGTATTCATTTTGCTTAATTCGAATCGAACTACTTAGCATGTTGGTAATAAATGAATGTCTGTTCTGCAGTAAAATCTAGGATTTGGGATAGAAGGGGGAGAAGAGAAGTCTGACTGGGGCAGAAACTAAAGGCATCAAAGTTCATGCTGAAAAAAAGAATCATGCTGTCTTCTCTGCTTGAACCTGAACTGGTCTTTTTTTGACCATATATCTGCAACAGCTCATTTTTAGGACACTTAAAGGTGGGGGAAGCAAGTTCACTGTGAAATATGATTGCTTATTTATATACGCAGCGATTTAAATAAATCATTGAATTTGTGTTTTTGGTGTCTACCAACTCCTGAGGGAAATATCTGGCTCTTATGCTGCTGATGATTTTTTTCTTCATCTTTAGTTGTTAACTGAGCCTGTCTACCGTTGCAGGGCACATTGTGTACTGTGAGGCTATTAGAGAAAACTGAGGCTGAAACGATGCTATGAGAGTGAGTAAGTAGAAGAACCATCCTAGGGATGACGCAGGGAAAATAAATCTTAATCACTCCTAACGTTTCTGTCCTTAGGGAGTAAAAAAAACGTCTCAATCCTGTGACAGCCTCTCCTTCTCCTGTAAGAAAATTTAAAATAGCTGCTGACTTCCTCTCACACTTCACATCCTGTGGCCTAACACATCCCTCTAACGACCACAGCAGCAGACCAGGCTCTGTTGAGTCACACGGCTGCAGAAACACAGTATGCTCTGTTACTGAAAAACACACCCACACACATGCACTGTAAAACACAGCTACACACAATAATAAACCCACAAAAACCTCTCCTGTATTTTTCTTTACATCTTCTTAACATGCTCAACATGAATGAAGCCACTGTGGAGGTGGGTGACAGATGACTGAAGACTGAATGTGTGACTTATTACATCATAAAGTCAGTTAATGGAAGTTTAGCTGGGCTTCTGCTCAAAATGTAAGGTACTTTTAAAAACACTGCATCCCCACCCTTCAGAGACATGGAACAGATGTAGAGGAACCACACCCAGAAATGGAGAGTACACACCACCACGTGGCCTAGCAACAAAAACAACTTTAGACTTTATTACAGTTTCACAGCTCAACTAAAAAAGAGGAGAGGGAGATGGAGGGGGACGTGTGTGAGCGAGTCAGTAAGAAAGAAAAAGATACTACAGAATCCAGGTACTGGTTCAACAGTACATACTATTTAATTGTGGCTGGTGCTTGTTCCCATGTACAGACAGCACCCCCCCCCCTGAGCTGTTTGAGTCTAATTATAGGGAACCAGGCTATCAGTTTCTCAACACAGTCGATCTTTTATTTATGAAACTATAACCCACACTTTGTACTGGCCATGTGACGGTTTAAGCATGAAAAGGAGACTGTTATTGTCTGCAGACTAGATTCAATACCAAACACATTCATCTCTCTGTCATCATCTGGCACAGCGTCCCATATGCTGTGGTGAAAACATGTCTGATTTCAAGAGGCTGAGACATCCACAGCGTGCGGACCAATATATTTCCTCATACACCCGAGAACATTTTCAACTCAATTGAGGTGCATGAAGAAAGTAAGTTTGCAAACATTAGCGATGGCATTTGTTTCAGAGCATAGGATACTCTCCAGATTATCTATTGCCATGGTAACACGTGGTGCTCCTGTCTGTGTGGGTGAAAGCAGGACAGCTGAGAGGGGAGGGGGTGTGAGGAGGGGGATTTGGACACCAGTGGGCCTCTTTGGCAGCTTCAAACAGACCGGACTTAAATACGGCCTGTTTGATTTACAAGTCTTCCACTAACAGGGCAGAGCTAATTTTCATGATTAAGAAGCTTTCTAGCACACAGTATGCACAGCTGAAAGTAAGCTGATCATAGATCTGCAGCAGACATGTGGTTAACATCCAAAATTACACAAAGCAACACTGCACTGTCAAAACATAATTTCCAGAGAAAGCACATTTGATTTTTAAGTACCAGTCATTTACACACCCACATAAACACAGGGCCCAGGTTGAAAAATACCGGAATTCTCCTTTAAAGAATAGGCTGTATAGCCAATGGATAAATGGATGGATTATAACACTGGTGTTATAAAAACTGTCATTTATTTTGCATTACTACTAAAAGTTATTAAAGAAAAGTTATTTATGGGTTTCGATGTTTGCCCTCACTCCCAGTCCTGAAAATTGAGCTACAGTGACATTATACAGGAGTGTGATTATATCTGCACCACACCCATCAGTGATGTTGAAGTGGTCAGTGGTGAAACAGGCTCAAAACCAGAGCGGGCAGCGTAACACTGCTCTTCATTCTCATGTTAAGTTGCTCTTCAATGCTGAGACACAAGCAGCCATACAAGTACTTTTCCATTTAAACAATAATTTTCTGACATTCTACTGTATGTACGCCGTTTGGTATTGGTGCTTGAGACCACCCAGCCCTACCTGATCACTGTTCGGGTGTGACAGATCAGTAAAAAAGACTTGGGTCAGCCTGTCTCACCTGTGTGGTTGCAGTTGTCCAGTTGGTTCAGTAGCTTCACAACACCTGGAGACTCAGCCTCTGGAGTCTCGAAGGCTCCCTCCGAGTCTGAACTGTGAGGAGAAAGAGACAGGACGAAACAGATTTGTTTAATAACTGCAATTTAATGGATATTCAATGAAATATTACCGACAAAAAGTAAAGATACTGACTAAATAAAAATGTACTGAAATGGCTTAAAATTGCCAATGAAATTAGTTTGTGGAGTATGTTATTAAAACAAATCACACTGCCTGGTTGGAATGCTTCTCACACAACAGTCTACTGTCTTTGAGAACAGTGAGGCAGGAAAACGCTGTTGAGCCAAAATAACAACATATAAATGCTACAAGCAGCTCCAATAAAAATTACAATGACAGCCCTAGTTGTGTGTTGCGGTGTCAAATTAACTGTAACAAATGAACACTGGGTTTCCTAGACACATCTTTTGTTTTCCTCAAGTGACAAGAAAATAACAGATTTAACAGCTCAAAGCAGCTTAAGATAAACAAGCTGCTTTTATTTTACAGGAAGGGAGAGGAAAGGAAGTGAAGCCCTGCAAGGCCACCTGCATCCTTTGACTTTCAATAAGGACACACTGTGGGACACAACATTCATTAAAGCACTCACACACACACACACAGCGTCTTTTGGTCTGCTGTGTCAGCTGCCTAGACACGCAGCCCAGATTTATTTCCAAACTGCGGAGAGACAAAAAGGCGGGGAGAGACAGAGAGAGTGAGAGTTTGTGTACGAGTGCCTGTTCCCATCCACTTGAATGCACATCAAAACGTCCACACGCTAACGCAAAACAGCACAGGAGCGGACAAAGCTCCCAGTGCCAACAGACAACCGCACTCCATCTCCATGATACCAGTTCACACAAACACATTCACACACTGTGGAGCTCTATACAACACCACCATCCAGGGCTAATCCTAATATACATATCCCCCCACCCTCCACACACACACACATCGCAAATCACATCCCAGTGATGGCCCCACTGGCTGCGATCTTGGATGGTTACTTAGGAACTAGAAATGGACAGAAAAAAATCTAAAGCTTTGGAAACTGTGGCTTTTACCCCCTTCCCCCAATTTTCAGAAACTGATTCCAAACTGCCAAACAGCTTTAACGCACACAGAGGCGCACACTCACATACATTAGAAAACATGTAAAAAGATGTGGACAGTCAGATCCTTAGTGGAGTGACTGTATTTTGACGAGGAATCTTAGTGGAGGACAGCCGCCTGACGCGACCGCTGGGATCCACTGTAGGAAAGAATCTAAGATTATCCCACTGTATCAATCAGTGTGTGTGTGTGTGTGTGTGTGTGTGTGTGTGTGTGTGTGTGTATCCACCACCTGTCGGTATGACTCACGGAGATCTGTAATCATCACACCCCCCCCACACACACACACAATCAAAGTTCAAACTCTATTGAAAACTGTTTTATCTGATTTCTTCTCCACATCGACCTGTGAACCATTTATCTCTCCGACTTCACTCTCACACACATGTATCAACATATGTGGCCAAGCCCTCTTACTTGTCCTCTCCGGCATCCTTCACTCTGGGATGCCCATCTTCTCCGGCACCCCCAGTCACTGCTGACCACGTCCATTTGGCCCACTGGACGGGAGACAACCAGGACATCCCTGAACCACGTCGAGTCCAAAACCTTAAGCCACCTCTGGTGTTTACAAGCAAACTTCCTCTTCCTGTGGATATGTTGAGTCTAATCTATCAGGACACAATGGCAAGTCAGCACCACAATGTCTATTAACAGCAAAAATAAGGTGGCTGTCAAAAAATCAGCTGTCGTTCTGTCTTCTTGCGTCTCTCCCTGATGTCTTGCTTTCTATATGGCTGTCTCACTTCCTCCTCTTGCTCAGCCGCTCAGCTTTCCCATCCTGCTCCTCTGTGTTGTTGGCGCTCGTGAGAGTGAAACGTGTCTCACACTGCTGCTGCTGCTGTTTCTGTTGCCGCTCTGCTCTCCACAGCACTGACTCACACGGTGCAGATTACTGTAGCATCAGTAGTCACTCCTCTCTCTGCCCTCCTCCCTCTCCCCGCTCTCTGTCTGGGTGGACGATCAGCTGGTAAACAGACAGCAGCTCCCTGCTCCCATATGTTTGGTAACTAGCATGCTCGCTCTCTCTCCTCCCAGATTCTTTGAGGGTTTGTTGATTGTTAAAGAAGCCAAGAGGCAACGGTTTGTGTTTGAAGATGAAAAGGGGAATCTGGTTTCTCCGAGACAGAAACTACCAGATGCTGGTGTCTCCAAATGGAGATGTAAAGAGATAAAAGAGATGAGTTTGAATCTGCAATATCCATTATTTCTGAAATTACCCTCAAATAAAGCTAATTTGAAAAGGATTTTAGCCTGCCTCATTGCTTAAAATTTAATTTGAATCTACTAAAGGGCTTGCTATCAGCATTCTGGCAGTGTCCCAGATAAATTACACCCTTTAGGACCATGTTTGCTTCCAAACTACTTTTGTACTTTACTGTTGCCGAAACAACTGGGTGGCCCACCGTGGGTCCGAGGCACAGTCTCAAAGTAATTTGAGTTGTTAATGGTTTGTTTACTTTGCAGCTCCCGACAAAGATAGTGGACACTGATTACAACAACAGAAAAAAAGAGTATTCCCTGGATGAATAAGAGGAGATAAGAGCAATTAAATTGCAGATATTTCCAGCAAAGACTAACAAAGTACCCGTTATATAAAATGTATAACTGTCACATGGAGAATATTTATTGAGCAAACCTACAGGGGATCTGCTGTTCACAGAAAATATCAAGGTCAGAGAGTCAACAAATCAATAAAGCAAACCTAGATTGAACAATAACAACACAAATACTCATCAGACTGACAGAATAGTCATTGGGATTAAAGCTCTCATCAGTGCTCACACTCACCCACATACACACACTCGTGGATGGCTTATGTAACTTCAGGCTTTCACATTTATACATCTCCCACCCACACACACAAATGCACACGGTATCTAGGCCAGATGAGATGTGTTCTTTTGAARAAAAAAAAAAAAAGGAGCATGACTAATCTAATATCAGGGGGATGGCTGAGCCACTGTGAAAAAGGTGCATGGGGGAAAGAAAAAAGGAAGGATGCTTTTCTTTTTATTTTAACTACCTTTCCTCTCCTGCTGTTTACTGCTCGCACATGAGACACGTGGAGGGAAAAGAAAAGGCTTTTGAAGTGATCAGTCTGAGCTAGTCCACAGAGACACACAGCCAGATAGATGAGAAAACACGCACATACACATGCACGCAAATAATGTCACACACTGGTGAGCAAGGAGAAAGGGACACTGTTCAATCTTTGATGGATGCAGAGACAAAAAAATTAGCAAATTAGAGGCACGACAGATGGAAAACAGCATCAATTAAAATGGAGGAGCGAAAGACAGGCAATCAGTGGGGAGGGGGCATAAAAGTGAGTTTTCTTACATATTTATTTGTGCATATTTAACATTCCTGACATTGTCCCCTTTGCATCCTTATCTGTCAGTCAGGACGGGTAGAGGACAAACCTGTCCATCTTGCACAGGACAAGATCTGCCAAAGCTAACAAAGTCCCTCATGCAGAGCACTCTGGGGTATATCACATCCTGTGTTTACATTGCAACACCTTTAAGCTGTAAACTCGTCTCTGGACACACAAAAACACACCGAGATCACATGGGGAGACAACATGCAGAGATGGACAGAGTCGTTATACTGGATCCTCAGCTCTCTCCCGAGCAGAGCAGAGAACCAGACAGACAGAGAAGTGGAAGGAAAACAGCAAGAGGGAAAAGAATCAGCTCTTATGTAATACCTTGGAACTACAAGTAGCACACAGTGGCAAAACCTACACATACATACACCCTACGTGAGCTGAAGCTGCCATCTTAGAAAGATAAAAAGACACTACACCACATGCACTGAACCGCAGCCATTATGTGCATACTGTCAGTTAATCCACCAAGAATCCACAACCTTAATCATCAATTACATTTTGACTGATGGCAGCATGTGTGGTTATGAGCTAAGAATAAATCGGCAATGATTAACATGTCAGTGAGCCACAACAGAGGACATGTGATACTAGATGAGATAACTATGTGTGTGTGTGTGTGTGTGTGTGTGTGTGTATACAGATACAGAGAGGGCATTAGAGAAGCCTCTCAACTATCACAGACTGTTCTCTATTCCCTACACAATGACAGAAACTTAAACAGCATGGGCCATTTAGCGTCACCATCAGGTCAACATTTCCCCCAGACCAACACTTGAAGTTAATGGCTGGATTTTCATGATATTTACTGTGAATATTATTGGTTCCTAGTCGATACATACTAATGTTTACAGTCAATGTGGTGTTTACTCCAGAGCCACCATCAGGAAAAATCTGCCTCTTGATAATGAGAAAAACATAATCGAAAGGGCAAATTCCTCTGACATTTACTGAGCAACATTTTATTTGCCATTTAATGGATTTTCCTAATCATCAATTTGGTTAAAAGGTCTAATTCTATACAAATTATCTTGACAATATGTTTTGCAAATGAAAATAAGTGGGTTTGATGGCAATTTTGTTCCAACTGGTGAACACGGGATTGAATGGCTGGATGTACAGGTTTATGCTAGACTCTCACCTGATGTTCATTGTTTTGCATATGTAAAATTCAAACAAAATTATGATATGATTTATGCATTTTAATTATGTGTGTGTTCTGTGTTTTACCTGACAAAATGTCCCTCATGGACACCAAAGTTAGTTTGAACCCTTTTGATTTTCAATTTCATCATGACCAATCATCAGGTGCCATGTTAAAAATAATTACATTTTTATTCCCAGTCCAGCTCAGAATAACAGAGTTGTCAGCATGATGTCTGTAAAACATTTGCGGAGTGTAATTACAGCATTCATTCTTTTAATTTCAGGCTAAGCTCTGGTCTTGTTTCAATTAGAGGTTACTTTCAAATGCTGCTATATACAAGGTCATGACCTCAAATGTCTCTCATTGGATCGACATTCACAAAGTACGGACGTCAGAGGTTTAGGGTTAAAAAAACAAAGCAACATACAGGGGTGAGAAAATTACCTCCTTAGTGGAGGAAATAAAAGGAAGGTGTGAATAATTTCCTGATAAAGACTCTGCATTGACTTGATCAGTCTGCCGTGTATACATATGTGGAAGTGTGTACATGTTAAGTATATTCAGGTATAGAAATATTGATGTGACGTTAAGTTTTTCATGTGAGACATTAACTTGAGCTTAAATGTCAGGCTGTAAAATAAATTCCCTCCGGAGATGGATGAGCCGGCTGATCTGAAGAGAATAAAACTGCTGGGTCACATTTGATTGTCTTGTTCTATGATATAGCTCCATCTAGTGATCATTACTGGACTCTCACCAAAATTCCTCTCTAATTAAAAACAAAGATTCAGTGACACGAAGCCAGGATGAAAAGAAAAAGACAACAAGAGGAGATGTGGAAAGAATAGATGTGAGAGAGCAACGGAGGTACACACCCGCTGCAAGTGATGCTGTGTTTACCACATGATCTCACCTTTGGGAGCTTAAACAGGGTCTACAAGGTCTCTGGTTTCACCATGGCAACCATTTGGGAGGAGGCTACAAGTGTATTCCACTTTGAAATCATGCATATAGACACCACACCCCGACCCTCACACAGATAAGTAGGAAAGGATGTAGCAAAGAAGAGGATATTTATACGTCAGGGTTTCCCCTATTATAAGACAGGTCAGAACTATTGCTTTAAGAACACCCAGTCACAGAGTTAAACTGAATGGAGCCAAGGCATTCACCCTCCTACAGTACTGTAGATACACTGAAGTGACAGTGGTATGATGAAACAAAAAGAGAAAGAATGAGGCAGCAAGAGAGAAAGAGAGGAGGGGCTTCATGCACAGACACCAGCCGAGCTATTGTTCGTGAATACCACAGGACACAGGAGCACACAATTCCCACACTAAAGTGCATGAGCATTGTACAGATATACTCACACAGAGCAGGCAGACTCCACCCCCCTACTGCTCTACTTTATGATGTCTCAATTCATTTTCTTTTCCCTTTGAAGTCAGTTCCACATGATTTAATTTCCATTCTGCTCTACTTTGAACTATATATTACAAATACATCATCTTCTACAATACTGTGCAAGTGAATGTTTTCAGCCATTTACCCCCAAATTATTCAGCAGTGAGTTTCACATTCATGCTGATGAATGATTCAAATGAGTGTTCTCTTGTGTATTCAGTGTGTTCCTCTCTAAGGATGAGAAAAGTTTTTGAGAGAAACGAGCTCCAAATACAGGTCAGCCTCTTCCCAAATGAGAGACTGTTTGGATGTTCATGGGGAACAGGAAGTCCACTGTACATACAAGACAGCTCCAGTTAAGTCATAAAACGGATGATTAAGCCAACTATTATTAGACTGAAAGCCGAGATCCCACGGCAACGGTTGGCTTTGCAGTATTCCCATAAGGACGCCCCCCAACCCCCATCAGTCGTTATACAAACACAGACAACTACAGTATGCATGAATGACGCGAGAAATGATAATGACTCTCGCTTCCATCCTCAAAACATCTGCTTAAATACAAATTTTTTGTATTTACAACCACGGCTCTCCATGGGTGAATACTGTGAAAATAAAAGGATGCCTGACCGAGCATGACTAAGCAAGTGCATTTATGTGTGTCGAGACAAAGTGGTCCAGTACAAGGGGCTTACAGTGGCTTTTGAAAATAGAGATGAAAATGCATCACTGGCAGGACAAAGTGAAAGGACTCACTCTGTTATAAAAAAAAGGAGGCAGTGCAGTTACGACTGATGCCTCAGCAACAATGTCTCCAAAACATTTTCCTACATTCTGACAAGGAGACGGCTCCAGATAGCTGCAGGTTATACATCAATCAACACTTTGCGGTTCTCAGACAAACCGCACGAACAGAAC